AAAGTTAAAAAGTGAATCCTATTAAATTTCGGGCTAGGTTAAGATTGAGACATTGTTCAATCCGACCCTATATAATATATAAGTAAAGAAGTCATTCTAATAAAAGTCCAATTCAAATAAATTGGATTGACATAGGAAAAAATAATGGATTTTGTTAAAATTAGAATTAGGATTTCAAAAAATCAAATTGGGTTATGATTGAGATAAATCAGTATTAATGTGGCTCTGCCTACCCAATAACATTTTCTCTAAAATGCTTTGAGGGGCCAAGCATTAACCCAACCTGGTTGTTGATATATGGGATGGGCTACCCCTAGTTAGATATAAGGTGGGGAAAAGTTTGGGGGGACCAAGACCCCCACCCAATATAATAAAAGATAGTCACTCCAAAGAATGTGAGGTTCATATTAAATATAAATATGAATTAAATTTGATTTAATTATTTAAATTAAATAAACATTCAAATTAGCTATAATTATGGGATAAATAGTGAATACCAAATATAATGATAAAAAACATAAAGGATATATAGGTGTGGTTGCTCCATACTTATAATTAGTACGGAGACATTCTCTAGTAATTAGTAATTATTATAACTTATAATTATTTGGTATCAAAATTACAAGGACGTAATCCTTGGTCTTTAGGTTGAAAGACAACTAGTATGCCATGTTTCAATTACTTATCTATAAATGTTAAAAAAGTTGGTTATCAAAATTTATATTTATAAATACTCGCTTATTATATTAGTTTTTTGAAAATTAAGATATATGCATGCTTATTTTAGAGGGTATGACTATGATATCAAAAAGATATGATATCTGAAAAACTTCTGATCAGTCAATTGGAATCATAAACGTGGTGGCCAATCAGGTGTTATTTATCAAAATTCATGGGTGGGTTTTGATTGGTCAAAACTCTTCCTATACCATATCTTTTCCGTATCATAGGTTTTCCCTTTATTTTGTTCTCAAAACCAGACCAGACTAGTTAAATTGGATTTTTTAATTAACTGAATTTTCAAATTTGAGAACCGAAATTGATAACTGAAATAACCCAATTGAAAAAAGGAAAACCAAAATTTTGGTTTAGTTTTCTGGTTTCAACCGAAATATGCCCACCCCTAGCTAGGGATGTTCACTAACTAAACAAATTGATTAAATTGGCCTGACTCGATCCAGTTTGGTTGGTTTCCAAGAATAATATACAACACAAAAAGTCTGGTCGATTTCGGTTTTTAAGTGTGTAAACTGACCCAACCCATAATAACTATGGCCTATTAATGCAATGGAAGAAGTGGAAAACGTCCTACACATCTCCTATACCTACTCGTGAGTTGGGCTATCAACAGATTTGGTCTGGGTTAGGGTCTAGTAGAACCAGTCCCAAACCGATTATTAATTGAGACAAAATTGTAAATCCATAAATATCACGGTTAATTTAAAATTTAAAATTTGATAATATAACCTTAATAAAAATGATAGGAAAATACTAAATTATTTATATATTAATAAATTAAATATTTTAATTATATTATACTATTTATAATAAAATAATTGATTCTGGGTTTGAATTGGTTTGAGATAGACTAAAACTAAAACCAACCCAACTATTAATTGGAACAAAATCATGGAACCAGAACTGTTATAATTGGTTTAATTGGTTCAGGTCCATCGGGTAGACCCAACCCATTGACAGCCCTATTCATGAGTTGTGTCTGTCTCTCCCTCATCACACATGTTCCAATCCCAATATTCCATTATAGTAGTTTCATAATGGAATTTCTTATTTTTTTTCTTAGTTTCCAAAAAAATGACAACATTTGATGCTTTTCTTTTTTTGTTATTCAGTGTCATGCACCATTAATAACTTCTCCCTTGACCCCCTTTTCCCTAAAGTGCTGATTGTTGGATTCGATTTGTTAATGCTGGAATAAACCAGCTAACACACCACAAGCCAGCCCTCTATTGGTACATTTGATGCTCTACTCTAGATTCTGTTCCTTCTACTTTCCGAGACTCCAACGCGAGTATGGAATCAAAAAAGACAAAGTTAAAAAGGACTCTCTATTTTTTCTCTTTTGTCTTTTAATTCTGTTTTAGTATTTTCAACTATTCCAAATTTCCAATCGTACAAGTACAAACTCCAAGTGCAAGGCTGGGATTCAAATGTTCAAGAATCAAGATTCAAGACTTTCAATTTGCACGCTACTCCCTTTATCAGAGGTCCAAGGTTTCTCTCTTTAATCTCTATCATGGTTTTCAAAACCAGATCGGACCCGAAAAATTGGGAACCGGTTAAGTGACCGATTCCGTTTTACCCCAGAACCACTATTTTCCCAAAAACTGTTGGTTTGGTTAGCAAACTGTTGACCTGGGCAGTCAAACTGTTTGAAATGTCCAATGGTTTGGCAGTTTTTTATTTTTTTGTTAGAACAGGTTGTCCATTTAATTTGAACAGTTGGACTGTTTGACCCGAAAACCGGATTCATTACCGATTCATTGTCTGATTCGATTTTAAAAGCCTTGATTTCTATCTATTTATTATGTGTTTTACTTTTTTTGTTATTTTTGCTTCCTCAAGTTTAAAAGAAAACTTGTCAAATAAGAGGACTCTCTTTACATTTCTATCGTTGATTAGATGCCCTGTCAACAATAAAATAAGAGAATGATGCTTTTATCGTTGTCCTTCCCCAACAGCAGCAAGCAAAAAGTAAATCTGAATTGTCTTTACAGTGAAGGATGATGGTATAGCTGACCACCCAATCAAACTGAACTGAACTGACCACAAATGACTCGTGTTTGGGTGACAATTCGGTCAGTTTCAGTGGTGTGGTCCTCAATTCGTATAGGTAGGTTCGGTTGGAAAGATTGGACGTAAATAGGGATGGCAACTGCTACCCTATCCATCTCAATGAGATATATATTTTTTTTATTTGAAAAACAAATTTTGGGGTAGGTATGGGTTTTAGGCTTTACAACTTGTACAGTTACGGGTATGATACAATATTAGGTTAAGTTCAATCCACATATAGTTGGAAGCATGTAAACTTATGTTTTCGGTGTTGAGTTTAATAATATTTTGAATTTTATGTGAAGGATAATTGATATTTTATGTATTTTTTACATGTTCTAATCAAATAATTAGAATTTTTTATGCTTGTTCATATTATTTGTCTATTGCTTATATACGACAGGAAATAATCGAAAATTAGATGTGGGTTCTAAATCCAACCAGTCAACCTGACCCACCCACTCTCAAACGTGGAGAGAATATTTCTCAAGAAAACAAAATGTGGAGAGGATAGGGTCCGAAAGGGTTTTGCGTTTTCATATATGGGGAGAGTTTAGATTTTGAAAATCCAAACCACTATGGATTTTGGGGAGGGTACAAATTGAGAGGTTTAGGAAGGAAAACAAAACCTTTCCTGTACTCGTCCTGTTGCCATCCCTACATGCAACAAAACCACAAAACCAAACTGACCCATTTACAGCCTTAACCTAACTAGTGGGTGTTTCAAGAAACATCCATACTACTTTGGAAGTAAGTTTCAACACCCTAATCGATGTGGTGTTGACATTGGATGAAAAACACAATTTCTCACCAAATAGGATTCAAGTACAAATACCATGGTGTTTGTGTTTCAACTTTCAAGATCCATATGATTTATTTATAGTTACTTAAAATTAATATTTAGTGTTATCGATATATTTTCCTGGAATTTATTTCAGTTTCTTAATCTCAACTTATCTATATGCATATCTTAATTTTTTCACAGTATCCATGCATGTATGTCTAAAACATATCAGGACACATCTAAAATTTTCTCCATACTTCTTTGTGTTTCCACTATACAAATAATGGCAAAATATGTGCCTCTTGTCTTGTGTACATATGACTTATTTAAGGTCATTTAGAATTTGTGTTTAGTGGGAATGATTTTTTTTTTGGGAATTTATTTAAATTTCCTAGCATATCCATTATCATCATTGTCCAAGTCTTGTCCTGATTGTATGAGATAAGTTGCACAAATCATGTTTCACCATTCTATTCTGTTCAGTGTCATATCCATCGTTATCTTGGGTGTGCAGGGGTGGAGGAGCCCTAAACCGGCCCCCTGAACTGGTTGCGAAAAAAAAAAGCACAAAATGCTGTATTGATTTGCTTGATATGCCCCTACTGGCATATCGGGCGTATCAATATTTTGAACCTTGCTTGTAACAGATTACTTTTCTCAACAGCTGTTGTTAATGGTTTTCTATGCATGTGACCACACCATTTCAGTCCAATTTTTATGGTTTTCTATGCATGTGACCAAACCATTTCAATCCAATTTCTCTCATTTTATAATCAATTATAACTACTCCTAGGTTCTTTTGTATGACTTCATTTCGAACCTTGGCCTTTCTAGTTCTACTGTTTATCTAAATAGGCATTTGTGTATTTTGTACCCTCATTTTTTAGACATGTTTTTAACTGCCAAACATTCTACTCCATACAACATGATTGGCCTTACACCTATTTTATGGAATTTTCCTTTTAGCCTAAGTGGTATTTGCATGCCACATAAGACTCTAAGATGCATCCTCGTTTTTGTACCCTCTATTTTATCCATCTCACTCTAATTCTATAGGTTGATATCCTCGTTATTCTCTCCTTTGTTATGAATTCTTGAACCAGGATAATGGAAGGGACTACATTGAATGACCTCTTGATCTCCAATCCTAATATTCCATAATTTCCATTGATTTGCACTCCTATTATTATTAAATGCACATTGCATATATTATGTTTTAGTCCTACTTATTGTAAAACCACTTTTTTTTTTAACACAATTGTCCCTGATCCTAATTTTACATTTAATCTTTCGCTGGTATCATAAATTAATATTGTGTCACCAACAAACATCAAACATCAATTAATATTTCCAGTACTCTAAACCTTGATTGATTGCAGCTGAACTTATACAAGTTTTGCTTTGGACCTTTATGACATTGATATAAGAAAACATCAAAATTTCCATTGACTCCTTTTTACATGGTTCAATTCCTTCAAAACAAGATGAACTGAGTATATGGCGTACAACCAGAGACACTGAAATCCCATCCCAACGGGTAATAAAATCGGTGCATGGTAAAACAATACGCATACATTAATACAAACGCCAAAAGGAATACAGAAAAGTAGAAAACTGAGGCCAACCATCTGCCGTGGCATAAATGAGATACATTCTAAGTTAAATCTGCAGGGTTTATCACCGCTCGATAATAATTAAACCATGGAAAAGAGAAATCAAGCCCTTCAAATATGCTTTCCAAGTTGACAGCATTGAGAGTATTTTATCCAACTAATCAGTTAACATAACCCTACTAAATGCTCGTGCAAACATCAACCCACCCTTGCCTCTCTTCTAAGTACCTGAAACATAATCAACATAAAATAACTTAGATTTATTAATGGTAGGCCTAATATTTCTTTCCATAATGGGATTTTTTAATGAAAAAGATATCGAGAACCACAACCATCCAGTGGATCTGTTATATTTGGGAAACTGAGCGTATGGACTGCAAATGAACTACTCATTTATTTCTACAATAATAGATAGATTGGCTTCTTGTGTCTACAATGCTGACTGGTAATGAGAAGAAATATGAGGCACAAATTGAAGAAAAAATGGAACTTAGGCGGGTATATGTTTGAAGAAAAAAAGCCATATCAAGTCTCAACAACTAATACTATACATTGATGTGAACTATGCAAGTGCCAACTCTGGAAGGCAAAGACTTCACTGGGGAAGATCTGATCACAATATTTATTATCATCAGCTGAAGAAATTTGCCAAAAGATTTTCTTTTCCTTTTTCTTTTATCAGATTTTTTATTCCAAAAACATTAGGGGAGAAAGGTATGCACAATATTGATGGAAAATGGAAAAGGTGACCATGACATTATTTTCTATTCCATGTTTTCTTTGATTTTCAATCTGCAAAGCTGAAGCAGAAAGCAATTGGTTTCTTTTCTATTTCTTTTATTAGTATTTTCCTCTTCCATTTTCTCTGCAGCCAAATTCTTTAGGTTAAGCTTGATGCTTTCATAAGACCAATTAATATAAAGAATTGCTGCCTCCTCTTTTTTTTAATTGTTTCAACTTGACAACCACATGCAAAATAATGTGGAATTAGATCAACTGCTTTTGATTGGGAAAACAATCCTTTAGCAGGCTGCTTTCATATGATTTAAGGAAGGTCTCCCTAAGACTGACGCCTTATGTGGTTTGTCTTCCTTGATAAGGTCCTCACAATGGATCATTTTTTAGAAAGCCTCACAGTGGATCATTAAAATCATAGAGGTCTCTATTTTCCAAATAGATTTTGCATGTGGAAAGCTACTGACTGAGGAGTCTATTGATCATTTACTTCTTTATACTTCCACATTTCCCTTGGCTTTGGGCCTTTGGCTCATGGAGTTTTTTCGGCTGGCTTATATTATCTTTAGGTTTCATGGGTGCTTCTTTCTAATAGGACGCAAATGGGTTGGGTTCAAATCTGATTAAACACAGTCAGATTAAATCTGATTTAACAATGTGACACGAAAGACCTTTTTTAAAAGTTTAACTTAAAATTCTTTAGAATTAAGTGGGATTTGGGATTTAGATAAACCTATTTTTTCTATCTGCAATGTATATTTTTTGTTTTAAATTTGCTTTTGTAGATTTATGCTAGTTTTATACAGATTTACTGATGTTCAAATAAAATTGGATAGCCATTTTTTTATCAGCAACCACAAAGAATAGATTTATTAAATTAAAGGAAAAAGATGCAACAAGGAGTTGTGAACAATAAACATTCCCAATACTAGTAAAGGAACGAATTATGAGTCCATGGTTACATATCCATCAGATATTGAATTGAATTCAGAACTCCTGTATTCTTATTAAATTTGGGTTTGAATATATACCCTATCCAAATTCAACCCAATCTGTTTGCAGACAAAGTTTGTGAGCTACAGTGTCTTTTGCTATATGCTGCAATATTTAGAAATATATGGTGCCTTTTATTAAAGGAAACAATAGTTCTTTTGCATATCCTTGTGGATCCATCTCTAGGTCTGAATAATTCCAGTTCATTTAGAAGAAGGGATTTTAATTTTAATTGGGTGTGGAGAGTAACATACTGTATAGCAGAATGGGTTTTTGATACCTTTTTTTTTGAAGAGTATTTTTTATTAAAAACAAAAACAGGTAAAAGCTGTTTAGGTGTCAAGATAACACCTAAAATCAAAGCAAACATACATCAGAAACTTCAGTTCAGATCGAACTGAATTGCATTACAGGTTTGAATCTCTGAAATGCCCCAGAAATTCTCAGCAAAGTCTGAGAGGCTGATTTGCTCAAATTCTGGAAGATATATGACCCAGCTTGTGGTGAGTTTGCCAACCGAAGCCAAGTTTTCTTTTTTATATCCTTACCTTATAACTATTATCAGCTAAGTTTTTTTTTTTTTATTGGTAACTATAATTTTTTTATTAAATTGTATAAAAGAATGATGAGTTAGCATTCTCCTAGTGAGGCTGGCACCAACCCCTTCCCCTTGTATACAGTTCCCTATTATAGTATACCCCAATAAAACTGTTCCCTGTTCACCCCTTAGTCTTGCCACAGCATCAGCCACAATGTTTTCTGATCTGTATGCCCATATGAAACTTGCATTTGGGGTTCTTATCAAAGCTAAGTATTACCATATTAAAAGTTTTAATTGCAACATATGCAGATGGAGGACTCCAAGTTAATAATATGGTGGCTGCAGACAAAAAGTTTGGGGGTTTGGACATATAGACAGCAAATGGGGGAAATAATTTGCTTAGCAAGGGAAGTTGGGGTACTTTTCAAGTGGACCAGGAGATCAGAAAATGGTTTAGCTGATAGCCTGATACATTGTCAAAGCAAGGGACCTTTAGGGATGATCTTTTTTGGGCTGTGTTGTAATCTTTGAGATAAATTCTGGACCTCTGGGGTCAACACTCTTGTTGTGGGTGGTTGACATTTGTACTCCTTTAACTAATTCAGTAATGAAAGTTACCATTTCCAATAAGAAAAGTAATATGCAGATGGAGGAAAAGAGGGTGGGCCTTGGTGCAACAGTTGGGTTACTTCATTGTGACCTGGGTGACCAGGGTTCAAATCTTGGAAACAGCTTCCCTGTATGTGCAAGGGTAAGGCCGCTTACATCCATCCCTTCCCAGACGGCCAGACCCCGCATTGGCGGGAGCCTCGTGCACTGGGCTGCCCTTTTTATGCAGACGGAGGAAGTCACATACTCTATATGATGGGTGAACTTTTCTTTTCTTTGTTCTTTTTTGCAGTGCTGTTGGTTAATTCCAAGGGAAAAAACATAAGTATTGATTTCCTGTGACTTCCTTCAGTCCACTTGAGATTTGAGAATTATATTGAATGATCTAAAAATTGTTTAGGAAAGACTTCATGATCACAAGAGTTCAAACCAACATGAGGAACTGGTCTAGCAGAAAATTTCCTAAATGAAGTTCGACAAAAGAAAATGAAAAAAAAAGTAATGTCGTAGATTTCACCTCTTCGGCGAATTTGATCAAAATGGTAGTTCTAGGTCGCTGGTGGCCTTCCATAGGTACAAAATGAGCTGTGACTACAGCTGGAAAACCTGCACTATCCAAAACACCCTTCACAAAACAACTATTTTTCAGAGATCTCAACCAACAAATTACAGGTTGAATATGAAAAAAAGAAACAATATAATGTTGCTTATTAATCAGATACTCACCCTTACAATTCCGGCAACAAATGCCCCACAATTAAATGTTCCCATGTCTTTGGGTGTTGAAATAAATCTTCAACAGAAAGTGTATATTAGTGAGAAAGTTAGACTAAAAATACAACTTTTATCAGGCAATTTAGCTGTCACATGCTAAAGAATACAGAGATAAAATCGTTACCGATTCACAAGAAGTTCCTTCTCACTTATCATGTATTCATCTTCATGTTCCGTGCCTTTCTCAAGTGAATCAGCTACCTAGCGGCATATCAAGCATAAGAGTGAAAAGAAAAAACGGTTTCTCTATACAAATGAATTTCTATATAAAATAGTACAGAGATACATCATAACCAGAAGATGGATGTTGTTAGTTGGGAGGGATTTTTTATAAGTCATGGTACCTTGCCATTGTAAGCATCCCAGCTTGATGCAGGGTCCATTTGTACAATTTGTACCCCCTCCCCCTCTCTTGATCAGTAACAAAGAGTATTTTCCGTCTGTTTTCTAGTATGATTTCCCCATTATGTGATTGAAAAAGGAATAAGGAATAATCGCCCTTGCAAACACTGATAGGATACTGGAGCTTAATAAATCAACATATATAACTATTAACATCCTAATGTGTTGACTGTTCAAATGCTATAAGCCCCGTAACTCTAAACATGTATAATAAGGTGCTTAAAATTAATACATGCATAACCATTCAGGGAACTGCTTAGATGCCACAATCTTTCATAGTTTCCTGTGATAAGCTCAATATGGTTATATTTTCAAATTTTTCTACCTCCCAAAAAAATGAGATGAATTTTCTTGCTTGGTATAATGGTAATATCTTGAGCTGACAAACATGAGACCATGGATCCAAGTCTGAGAGCAGCCATTTATGCAAAAAAAAAAAAAAAAAAAAAAGTTAGGTCCATATCCAGTCCACCCCTCCCAAGACCCTAAATTGCTGGGACCAACATTGTGTTATGGCCTTGGGGTGGAAGCGCATTAGGGGTAGCTGAACATTTTTGCTGGATTACTAGCAATTTCATATTTACATTATGGATATGATGATCCATAATGTACAAAATGATACAAATGGGGCAACTGGTAATAAATGAAAAAATGAGTTTATCTAAACCCCAGTCCTCATACAAAGTGAACATTCCAACATGAAATTCAATAATTTTGCAACATACTGGCTTATATTTCAGAAAGTAATGGTTGACTATGTATTACCTGAGAAACATGCAGGAAACACGGGACCTTGTTTTAGAAAGGGAAAGTTCAAAAGATGTTAAAAGAATCAAAACAAGAAAACCATATTCTAGACAACTCACGTGATTAAGAAACCTAAGCCAAAGATCAAGAATATGAATTATTGCACATGACTAAACCATGAATCATGTGGATATCAGTGGGTAAATAGGTAAACATTTTTTTTGGCATTGTTATGTTTGCTTGAACATTGACACAGGCTAACATGAACACTCTCTGTTTAATTCTTTCTTGTAGTCCCTCATTTCTTAGCATTGGTAGCATATATATGACCATTTTGCTCTCCTTCTAGAATTATTTATTGTAATATTTGTCATGCATTTCTTTAACAATGTAAGCTTTCATAAACCTTGTGACTTTGTAGGCATTAACATTTATGAGAAGATGAAGGTTTGCTTGGTTCAGAACTTGGCCTTGGTTTAAATGATTTTAAGGGTTGGATAGACTATCTTTTGTCATAAGCTGTGGCTTGTTGTTGGCATATATAATCAGTATTATCCCAAGACAGGGAGCAAAACATCAAAAGTAATATGGAAAACCATGCAGGGACTAGGGAGTAGAATTCCACAATGACACTTTCCTCTAAAGACCTGGCTTTTATCAAGTCAACGATTCTCATTCGTTAGAACAAAATGTTCAATCTAGATGCTATAGCGAACTCTTTTGAGAAGGGACAACTGGTAGGCAACAAAACCTAAGCTATTTAATCATATCACAAACTCGCCCTTAGTCTTAACTCTTAAGATCACCAAAACATAGAAATAATGAGGCCCTGAAACATGGTTGACAATATATAATCCCTTTTCATTTCAAGCTTCTTAAACTTTCCCCATAAATTACACCCCAAAACATTTGTTCCTTAATCAGCAAAGGTGCTGGCTGTAGTACCAATTTTACTCTGACCCTTTTCTCCCTTGCTATGCTGCTTATTTCTCTTAATATGTGCCTGTAATACCAAGTCCTTTGACTGTTTTTCCCCATCAACCCACAATGTTTTAAGAATCTCCCTCTACTTCTATGTTACCCAACTGGAGTCTTTTACACAGCCTTGAGCTCTTGCAAAACAGCCATCAACTCGGCTCTTGTGGAGTCCCCATGACCTACAGAACCTGAAAAAAGAGATTACAGCCCCAGTACTGTCTCTGATCACCCCTTCAATGCCTAATTTAAATGGGTTGCCCAACGAACATCCATCAAAATAGAGCTTTACTTGTAGTTTCACTTAAAGCATGAAGATCAGTTGTTAATTTTCATATAAGTTTACAAACACTATACATCAAATTGCAGCTTTCTAAGAATGATGCTTTCCTAGATACCACAAACCCGGGTTTGAACACTGTCTTCTCCTACTAACCTGCTAACTCACTAGCTGTACATCTAGCTTCCCAAAAAGAAAAGTTCTGATCCAGTATAGGCCACAAGCCCTCCAAGTTATCAAATCCTCAACAAGGGATTGTAGTTCTTTAAGTGACCATGTGGCAGCGTCAAGGGAAGCTATCTGGCTTACTCAGAAGTTGGAATCTAGATCAAAAGAAAATCATACCAATGCACACCATCAACAGGAAAAAATAACATCAAAATCTGCTTCCATCCTATCACAAAAAATAAAACTGCTTCTATGAAGACCATTAAGCACATATTATCTCCTATAAAAAAACAAACACGATGCAAATCAAAAGATCAGCAATAGACATGAGAAACTTCTTTGGAGTAAGGACATTGAGAAGACTATGATACACAGATACAAATACTGGACAGACAGGAATACAGGAAATGGGGATATGACACTCCATTTCCTAAAATCCTAGACAGGGATAAAGGTATAGGTATCCCAAATAATTTGCTTATATCATGCTTTTTATCTAGTTTTTGAAGCTAATGTCTTTTCTCAAGAATTATGTCTTGCCGAATTTAATTGAAGTTCTAACATATACAAATCTTCTTTAGTATAATCTGTCATAAAATGCCATTTTACATATTTTAGAAGTGTCAATTCTCTAGACTATATCTAAAAGTGTCCATGCAGTTCTAGTGTTGCATTTGTTGTTATTGTGCCCCATACTAGAGTGCTAGGCTTGTACAGGTATCCAGGTATCATAGGAAGAAGATAGTTCTATCCAATTTTCATTTCAAAAAAAAAAAAAAAAAAGAAATCTTAGCAGAATCTTTGGAGATGATATGCATAGAAGCATTCCGATATATTCAATAGTTGACCTCTTTGTACAATGCTTTTAGCAGTAAAACTGGTAGAAACCAATACACAACAATGTGCATTTGTTCCATTCAATTGAAATGGATAATTGCTCATATTGAAAAGGCAATGTGCAAGACTTTGCATTATTTGAAAGAGTGCAACACGTAATTGCTTAAAAAGAAGAATTAAGAGAATCCATTCACCTTTCCAAACAACACCTTCCAGACTGTACTGTGCACAAAGGACAAAATCCCCAGAAGTCGTGTTTCCCTCCTATTTCCCTGTGGTATCAGATTGAGAAAAAATCAGTCAACCTAGCCAAAATCTCTTACATATAATTTGCACTTAATTCAGAGAATTTCATATATTTTTGACCTTTCTCCGTGACTTGGTATTGAAAATACCATATTGAAGTTGAACAACATTTTGATTAGTATAGGTTTCTAATGAAAATTAATAATATGTAATGAATCCTTAAAGGTGAAAATTTTAAAAAGCCTCATTAAACCTTATGTTTCCATCACAGACTATGAGAAAAGAATTTACTAGAAGTACTTAGATAATGCCATACCTTATCCCTATGGCACAGAAGTTCTAGAACTCTTGCTCCAACAGCATAGCCTGCATCCTCTAACCTGTGCTATCCCCGATGGTCACAATCTATAGCTAAACTGTAAAAATATTAACTATTTCCTGTAAACCACCAATACAAGCCCTTGCCAATTACAATAAAAATGAGAATACCTAATATGTGAATACAACAACCAAATTCCCATCATTCTAGTCACGGATCCAACTAATAGATAAAATTCACATGGCTTTAAGCTTTAATCGGAATCACATTTTCATCAATAACTAAAAAGGATCTGAAGAAAGATGGCATAGTCATCACCTTCTCTCTAACTCAGCAATGTTGTCAACCTGAGTCTGATTGTACTGCACAAGCTCCGAAAACAAGAATGCGAATGCACTCAAACTGACCTGAAAACAAGAAATCGCCCATATAACAAAATCATCTCAGAGTATCTACTAAACACCTGGCTGGAATCGACAGTAGAAATTAATCAATCAATTGAGAGATCTTGAATATGACGACCTATATGCCTCCAAGGTACGGATTAAAGTCAGACTGGATCAATAAACAGATGGAAATGATGGTAGAAATGGAAAATCTAAGAAATCAACCAAAGGAGACTGGAAAGAAAGAAGAGAAGACGAAACAGAGACCTCTTGTTTGCCCTTGCTGAGGGGTTTATCGAGGACGTTACTATATTGCTTGATCTTTCCTACTCCAATCATCGTTTCTTCTCTCTCTCGGTTCAGTCAATCCTCAGAAGGTGGAGTCGAAGAACAAAAAAGCTGAACCGGGAATTCTGTTCTGATGTTCTACAAATCGATCCGGATTCCGGACAGGCCCGTTTTCTTCCGGCGTTGAAAAGTGAAATGGAACCTGAGAGGGGAGACAGTTGATCAGTTGATGTTCCGGTGGCACAAGCACGAACTTTTGAAGATGTGGCTTTCACAGAGAAATGCAGCGTATGGATAATTGGTTTTCTCCGCGCTACAGACAAGCTCGGGATCATGATAAGACATGCTTAACTTGTCTTGTAGCAAGTAGCATGTCTTTGATGGGCCACCGTCTGTAGGGCGGTGAACGTAAGAGTTGCATGAAATCGTTGTTCATTGCAATTCCTTGGTTTGAAGGCTACACCTATGCAGGTGTAGTAAAATACATAAACCACTCCCATTTAACTAAATTGGGATTTACTCCTCACAGCCACATCCCTCCGTCTATTAGGAACATTTCCCATTTATAAGAATGGGAGATATTTCCGATGTGCAGTTGGGACAGAGACCAGATCTGCTCCTCACACATGGTGCCTCACATGCACATCCTACCCTGTATTGAATATTTCCCGTACTCGTACTTATAAGTTATTATTTATGAAAGATGTTCTCAATGCATGATGGATGTGCCTGTGAGACACCCATGTGTGAGAAACAGATCCTGTTCCATTGGAACATGTGTGAGGAGTGTTCTGTGAAAAATAGATCCAGACTCTATTTAACTTTTATCATGGGTTTCATTATCACTTATCTCTATCTACAAAATACTATTTTCGTGCATTGAAAACATTTCCCATACATAATAAGTGTGGATAGAATTGTCGTGAATAAAAGATCCGGACTCATTTAACCTTCACTAGAAAGAAACTTCAGTTATAAATTATAAAGAATAAATATCACTTGTATTGTATGAATTTGTGGAAAACACTAATAAAAGGGTGAGTGCGAGGCAGATATGGGCTAAAGGGTGAACAAGTTTCCAATCAGGCCGGCATAGCCCGATCACTGTTACAAATTAAATGGGCCATACTAGGCTAGACCCAAACACCTATACCATGTTGGGCTTGGGTTTTGACTTTTGAGGCCTGCGAGCTGGTGCGGTATAACACGAACAAGGGGTTGTACTAGCATGACCCACAGTCCAACACAGCCCACATGCCGGTCCGGTACGACATGGGCACATGGCACAAAGTTGGCATACATCAGACCACCCAATAGATAACAACTATTTTTGACTTTTTGGTGCTTCCCAATAATTATGAAAAAAACAGCATTTTAGTTAATTGAATTATTTTCAATTCTTATAAATATCTTTATCTTCTTTCTCATCACATCAATTCTCATATTCTTTTTTATTCTCCTATACTCGCATACTCTTTTAGTATCTTCTTCCCTAGTCTCTAATTTTCAATTTTATTCAAATTTCAATAAGGAGAAGGCTTGTTTAAGTGTCTCAAGTTAGCAATTTAGAAGCAACGTTCAAAGTATAAAAAACGCTAAGTATATTGGAAATACAAATTTAAGAGGCATATCGAGATATACCTTGGATATGCATAGGTACAGATGAAAAATTAAGATACGCATGGAAACTCTATAACTACTCCAATAAATCATAAAAATACATTAATAACATTAAATATAAGACCTAAATGAGCTATATATACATAAAAAATCACATGCTTTACTAATTTTTATGAAAAACTATATCATAATCAACATGCTAGAACATAAGGATATATCAAGGTTTTCAACCTGCCATTGACCCAGATGGTCAAACCGTTACCTTATCGACTTTTCGAGTCTGGCTCTTATAAAACTCAATAATTGCCAAAAAATCGTCAAACCGGTAACCCAATTAGAGGGCGACTGACCTATGTTTTTAGTTCTAATTTTTAGGTTTAAAAATTTTGAAAATTCCCCAAAAGTACCGACTCCCAGCATTAGCTCAACCCTTTCTCATTTTCTCTTTTTTTTTCTCACTTTCTCTATTCTAGCCTCTAGGGTTTATGTTTCATGTTAAAGATTTAGAGAATAGAGGAGACTCTAGAGAGAATAGAGAGAACAAACGGCTAAACAAGTTTAAGGGAATCGGATTTTCGTCTCTAGTCACCGGTGACACCAGTCTTAACGCAGCCTCTGTTTGGGCGACACCAGTCTTAGCGTCGGCCTTTGTTTGGACGGCACCAGACTGCCAAGTTTGGGCAACACCAGTTCTTAACACCACCGAGTTTGGGCGACACCAGACCAGATCTCTAGCCTTGTTTCTCGCCGCGAGCGGCGACTATATCAATGTATATATACGACATTCTTTTAATATTTTTAAATATAACATCATTGAGTTGAACCATTCGACCCGCTTGGTCGAATTGATGACCTGCAACTTGGAAGAAAAAACAGGTCGACCTCTGGGTCGGTTTTAAAAACATTGGGCTATACTCTAATAAGGTTATATCTACAAAATATAAGTCTAATAATTATTTAATAAAACATTTTCTATAATTTTTAAACAATTATATATTTCTTAATCAAACAATTGTTTTGTTTTTCATTCCAAAATTTATAATAAAAATTAAAAAATAAATATGTAACAAAAAATAACTCTATGGATATGATAGATCATCCATAGATTTACAACATAGTAAATATTATGGTTAGATCACACCAAAACTAGAAAATATATATTTTATTCTAAAAATTACAAAAAAATAAAAAAAAATAAATATTCCACAAGAAATTTCAATAGATCTATGAATATGGTAAACCATCCATTGATTTGAAACATAGTAAATATTTATGGTTAATCAACTAAAAATTAGAAAAAATATTTTTTTATTCTAAAAATTACAAAAAATAAATATAAATAAACATATCACAATAAATTTAAATAGATCTATGGATATGATAGGTCATCCATAGATCTACAACATAATAAATTTAATGTTAAATCATACTAAAGAAGAAAAAAATAAATATTTTTTTATTCCAAAAATTATAAAAATAAAAAATAAATATTTTACAATAAAGTTCAATAGATCTATGGATGTGGTAGATCATTCATAGATCTATGACATAGTTATTCTAGATGGGGTGATTACACCAAAAATATAAAATTTTCTTTCCTTTGTTATTTAATATTTTTTAAATTTTCATTAAAAACTTACAAAGATCTATTTAAAGCACCAAAATATATAGGATTTTCAATACAAGGAGAGTATATCAATGTATATAGAAGCATTTACAAGCATCAAAGCAAAAAGAAACACAAAATATTGCAACATATTATCAAATAAATTGAAAAAATACCTATTTTTGCAATTTTAAAAAAAGTTGAAAAACTTAAAAAAATCTAGAGTTTGGGAGGTTGTTTTTGGTTCCTTTTTAAAGATCTTACACCCCAAGAATGTGTAAAGACGATTTGGTGAGTTTGGGAGAGAAAGAAGACTTTTGGAGAGAGTTACAAGCCTTCTTTCCCAAAGGATTTTAATTCATTTTTCGCCTATAGAAAAGTCATACTATACCGGTCGATACACCCCAATACGACCACAAGACAGTACAAAGGAAATTATAGCATTTTCCATGCTGACCCCTTAAAGATAGAGTTCAACTTCACTCAGGGCAGCTTCAATCAGGGCACTGTTCACACAAAAGGAGGACACGCCATGCGTCCTCCAGTTTGTATGAACATTTGAGGCGTGTGGGAGAGTTTAATGTCGTTACAAACAAAAAAAGTGGAATCCATCCACTTTTTGAGTTTTCACTTCCCACTCCTCTCCTCTCCTCTCGCTCGCTCACTCACAAGTTCTCTTCCCCCCCCCCCCTTCCAATCAGTGGCGACAAACAACCATTACCAGTGGTGAACAATAACCATCACTGATGATCGGGGTCAACCTCAGGTATTGACTTTTTCTTTCAAGTATTCTCCTTTGCATCTCTTCCATAAAGAAACTAACCCTAACCGGTTTGGATGGTAGCCATCATCGTCGGATACCAGAAACTGGCGACAATCAATACCTGAGGTTGGCCCCGATCACTGGTGATGGTTATTGTTCACCGCCGGTAATGGTTGTTTGTCGCCACTGGTTGGAAGGGGGGAGAGAGAGAAGAGAACTTGCGAGCGGGCGAAAGGAGAGGAGAGGAGCGGGAAGTGAAAACTTGAAAAAGTGGATGGATTCCACTTTTTTTGTTTGTAACGACATTAAACTCTCTTACACGCTTCAAATGTTCACACGAAGTGGAGGACGCGTCCCACGTCCTCCTTTTGTGTGAACAATGCCCTGATGAAGTCGAACTCTTAAAGATATGGGCTAATAAGTTCTGAAAATTTAAACCTTGCTTAAAAGATTCATTAGTTGAAATCAATTTGGAATATTAAACCAATGGACTAGGTAATTGGTGATTAATTTTCATTTTTAGGGTTTTATATTTTAATTTTTTTAAATGGTTGGTTCCTCTCAAAATCCCTTTTCCTACAACTTAGATGATGTCCAATCATAGTATGATAGCACTGATATGGGTGTTAGTGGTATTGTTGCTAATGAAGCCACTCTTACTACTAGTGCTAGGGGTGGCAAGAGAAAGACTGGTAAAGTCTAAACTATGTTTAATATAGAAAATGTTGAGGAATAGGGAAAAAAAGTTGTTTGCATAAAATATAAAAGCAATTTTAGTTATAGTAGTAAAGGTGGCACTAGTCATTTAGCTAAACACATGGCCAGTCAGTTGAAAAGAAAAATAATAATGAAATGTATTTTAAATATTTATTATGTCTATGTCATGGGGCATTTTATTGATGAATCATGACTTTTACAAAAAAAGAATTTTAAGTTTCACAAGATTTGAATGGCCACATATTGGCCTAGCAATTGTTGTAAGTATTTAAATGCTTTACATACTTATGGTATTGAAAATAAAATTCTTTCTATTAGTTTCGATAATGTTAGTACTAATGATTCAACTATAAATATTTTAAAAAATCTCAATTAAAACCATTTCAAATAAAAAATTATTTTCATATTAGACATGCATGTTACACTTTAAATTTATGTGTACAAGAAGATTTAAATATTATTTCACCTTATATTTCTAAAATTAAAAATTGTTTTAGGTATATTAAAGCTTATGAAACAAGAAAACAAGAATTTAAATATTTATATCATCAATATAAAATATGAAAAAATTGTATTAG